ACCAAAGCCTCCAGGTATGGTAAGAAGCCAACCCGAAACACTGGCCCTATGAAACGAGGGCTCACGCCGCGACAAAGGTGACGCAACAAGCGGGGCCCCCTCACGAAGGCGGCCGGCCTGCCAGGAGTGACCTGGAGCCACACCCATCTGGCCCTGTCCCATCTGGTGCGTGCTGCCATTGCGCCAACGTCCCTGGGGATGGCAGGGACCTGGGGCCAGCGATACCCGTTTTCCGGGTCCCGTGCCGGGAGACGAGTCCAGGGACACACCAAGGATGCGGAGACCCGCTCCCCAACGTCCAGGCTGAGGATGCGACTGCTTCTCCAGGGCTGACGTCTGCCTGCGGTTCCGCATCCTCGCCACCCTCCCCCCAGTCACCACCCTTCCCACCCCGTCCCCAAGACAAGAGCTCGGGCTCCCCTCTTTTGCTCCATGCCTTCTCCCCACCCTGAACCCGGCCACCCCACCGGCTCACTTTCCTTCCTGCCACCATCGGTGCCTGCGTGTCTGTATAACCGCGGAAGGAGCACAGTTTATTTCTCGCCCAACACCCTCTGGGCTCCATCCTGAATTCCGCAAACCCCTCTTCCCCGTGCCCAGCGCCTGCTTCTGAGACCCACCCGCCCTCCTGTAGGAAGTCCCCCTCAGTGATTCAGGGTGACTCTCACCCCCCTGGTTCACACTGCGGGCAGGCCCAGGGTAGTGGCCAAGTCAGGCTCCACCAGACAAGGGGAAGGCCCAGGAGCCTCCTGCCCTGGGATGTGAGACCCCGGCTGTGCCAGCAGCTGCGATACATGAAGGAACAGGGACTCTGCCCTGGGCCCGGAAAGCCCTGCCGAGAAGGCCTCGCTCCTTGCCCCTGCCCCACACCCCCCACCAGGCATCCGCAGGAAGACCAGAGCCACACGGAGACAGAACACAGGTGACTCCGGAATTTCAGGGGCCAACTCTCCTGTCCCCCACCCCAACTCCCACAGACAGGTCAGCCCCCAGGGTCCCCCACCCTGAGAAAAGAAAATGGGAAGACAGAGTCACAGCTTTGGGGCCGCGGCTGGGTCAGGGTTCCTCTCTAACATCAACAGGGAAGACGCTTTCTGGACCCCCGGCTCCAGCAAGGCGCCTGGACCCAGCCCGTTCGCCGACGCAGCCAGGCTTCTCCCTTCCAGCCCCAGCTGGGCCGTCTCCCCACTCCAGCGGGCACACGTGGGAGCCAAGCGCCCCAAGGGCACAGGCTCGAGAGGGGTGCAAGATAGACCAGAACACACAGCTTCACCTTCTAGCACCTTAAGTAGATTTCGCTTAAGGGAAATCTGGGGGAAGGGAGCAGGGAAGGGCAGGAGATGGAGGGGGAGGGGGAGGCGGGAAGGCTAGGGCCGGCAGCACCCCCATTCTGCCTTGGCCCTGGCACGCTCAGCTCTTCCGCCTGTGCACATGCGCTGTGCTGGGCCCTGGCGGGGGGGGGGGGGGCCTGCTGGTCAGCAGGGAGAGGCTCCGGGCTCTGGCAGGGCGGGAGGCTCAGGTACCCACCTCCTGGGGAGGCCGGGCCCGGAGCCGTCCCACGACAAGACTCCAATTCCAGCGACTCACAGACAGTGCTGATTTACCTCTGGCCACATGTAGCAAAGGCTACGCCAGACTTATGGCAACAGCCAAAGGTGGGGGCCGGGGGGGCCCCACATACCCAAGATGGGACGCTTGTGACAAAACCATGCACAGAAGGGAGGGTGTATGCACACACTCATGCACACAATCACACCCAGAAGGGAGGGTGTATGCACACTGCACATACGCACACACACACATACACACATGCACACAAGCACTTTCCCAGGTGGTCAAATTTATCCGTGATGCATGCTGCCTAAAGACCTTTAAACCAAGAACCTTTTTAAGCTCATTTATTTTTGAGAGAGACAGAGACAGCACGAGTTGGGGAGGGGTGGAGAGAGAGGGAGGGAGAGACAGAGAATCCCAAACCGGCTCCATGCTGTCAGCACAGAGCCTGATGCAGGGCTCGAACCCACGAACTGTGAGATCGTGACCTGAGCTGAAAGCAAGTCGGAAGCTTAACTGACTGAGACACCCAGGTGCCTCTAGACCAAGAATCTTCACACACACACACACACACACACACACACACACACACACACACCGCTGGGGCCTGGCCCACCTAGTGGGTTTTGCCCTACCCAACAGGTTGAAGACAAAACCTAGGGATTCCTCCCAGCAAAACAAGACAAACTTTCCAGAGGGCATCTTGCAGACCAGGAGGGAGAGCCAGAGCCGGGGAGGCAGTTCTGGGGGGGGGGGTGACAGTCCACTGCCCCCCCACGGAGATGCCCCCCAAAGATAAACTGATAAGATAATAACCCAGGAGGCTCTCCCCCACCAGCCCCACCACAGACCCCTCCTCTGTTTGCTCAGACCCCTGCTCTCCAGCACAAAGTCTCTATTGGTCTCCCCGCAGGGGTGAAGAAAGGGGGTTTTGTCCTCCTCCCCACGGGTCTGAGTGAGTTTATCTGAAGCTGCAGCAGTCTTTGTAAGCTGAGTGTCCCAGGATAAACGCTCCCTTAAGAGTTGCTTGGCTTGGGACAGAGGGACCCTCTCCAGAGGAGAATGGGGAGCTTGTTCCGATGGTCTTTTAATATGGGGGGTGGGGTGTCACTGAGGACAGGCCTCCGACAGACTTTCACAGAAGGGTTTCTGTCCCGGGGCTACAATGGAGAGAATTCTTAAAGACACAGATGCAGAAAACGGGAAGGATTTTTTTTTTCCCCCTCTAAGAGGAGGGGAGGGAGGAGAGGAAAAGGGAGCGTGGTGAGGACGTCTCCTTCCCAGAACAATTCAGGTTATATATAGCCAGGCATCTCAGCCTCAAAGGCCACATAAATGCTAGCAGAGACGCAACCCCGCGGAGATTTCTGGTGGTGTGGCCGCGTGGCCGCGTGCCCTGCAGCTGGGTCCGCTTCCCAAATCGACCTCGGGAACCACCCGCGAGCAGAAGAGAATCTCATTTTTACCTAAGTGAAGGGCCTCTGTGACACTGTACTAAAGGATCGATCCTTTGAAGGCAGTCTGGGTCCAAATGTTCACTGTAGAGAGGGGGTGGCGAGCAGCCACAGGCCCTTAAGTAAACAAAATTCTCTCCAGCCACAGGCCCGAGAGGGTAATTTAGTCTTCGAGATGTTTATTTTGGTACAAGGTCACCCTCGCTTTCTTCTGAAGACACCCCAAGCTATCACAAATGATGCTGGATGAAAACTGCCCCCACGGGACCATCGTATGTTTTGGTTTCATTTATGTTTAATTGAGCACTTCTCCAAGAGGCCGAGCGGTACGGCAGAAAGGCCTGGGAAGGATGTGTCCACCGAGAACGACCGGGCGTTCCTTCTTGGCCGCCTTGCTCGCGGAAACCTGCCAGAACCAGTGAGGGAAACTAGGAGGCACCCTCGACGCCGAAATGTATCCAGGAACCATCGAATACACTGTAAGGTACAAAGGGAGGAAACTGAGGCCTCGAGATGTGGCAGAACCTGCCCAAAGCCACAAGGCAAATTAGGAGACTGAAAATGGGCAAAACCAGAGCTCCTGGCTGAGCCCCAATTGTAGGCACCAGGGACAGAGGCATGTGATGCCCAGGACTACTGGGAGCAAAGATCGGTAGCGCCTTCTAAAAGCAAGATGTGAAAAGCCATTTTTCTATGCAATGTGTCTGGATGAAGTAGGCAGAGTCCACGGCCCCAGCACCCACAGCCACACACAGCAGCAAAATGGCAGGGTGGCCTGGACCTCTGACCCGTCACCTCATCAAGTACACATTGTTTTTACTGGAGTCGGCATCGAGCCAGGCACCGTGAATGCACACTTCTGATTTTACTGAAGAAGGAAAATCCAGGGCGGTGTATATTAGATGGTCAGCGATACAAATTCAGGGACGGAAAAGACCCCAGGATGGAGAACCATCGAGGGTACCTCGCTGCCTCCTCCCCCACACCCCAGGCCGTCTGCCCGCTCAGGCCAACACAGGCCCCAGGGCTGGTGAGTCACTTCCAAGCCACCTTCACATAGGTCACTGCACTGAAGCCTGCACTTCCCAAAGTCTACCCTCTGCAGCTCAAATTCTTCGCTTCTGAAAAGAAATCCCAAAGAGAACTGGACCCCTTGACTAGAAAGTGGGAATTTCCTTCCCCAGTTAAATCCAGCGACATCAGAGCAAAGACACAACGGCAGCCCAAGCAGGTAAGGCCATGGAGCTCATCCATTTCTGTAACATTTACACAAGTTTTCAGCCAAGAAGAGGCAAGAAAAGAAGCAGAAGGAGGAATCCAAGATTCAATCCACTGGACCCGGTGAATGAGACACACCTTGACTGCCACCCCTCCCCAGCCCCAAGGTCACACAGGCTCTATGTTCTACCCTCCAACGTCAATGAAAAGGACAGAGTGCATGGTGGCTGATGGCAGTGAACCCCAGAGGGGCAAGGAGTTCTCAACTGCCCTTAATGCACTGGGAGGCAATGTCGGTACAGCACTGGCCGACTCCATCCAATTTCCAAGAAGAAAATCAGAAGGGCAGGCCTAGCCACAGGTGTGGGCTGAAAGCCCAGCTCAGCTTTCAGCTCGAGGAGTCAAGTGCCCACAACACTGTCCTGTTATTAGAGAGTTACAATCCTTCAACGCAAAACTTCCATTAAACACCTTGGTCGTGAGCCGATCTACTTCCCTGTCCCCCTCAAACATGTGCACCCAACTTCACGAGGCTCCTTGAGAGAGGATGCTAGACCTCCCCAGAATTATCACTCCAAACGCCAATGGTTGCAGGAGATGGAAAATGTCACAGGAACCCAACTGGGGACGCCAGTGGCCTGAGCATCTCTGATGGGATTTCAGCAATAAGGGGGTTTATGATGTTGACGTGTGTCTGGGACGTAGGTACCTCCCAAGTGAACAGAGTCAGGACAATACTATAGGGAAATGTAGTGGTTTAAAAATTCAATAGACCTGCATGCGGATCCTTACTCCAGGCTTGCTGGCCGGGAGATGGCGTGCGGTGACTTCTAGCTCTCCCAACCAAGTCCTGCACCCGCAGGGAGGATGGCAAAACAGAAGAGGAAGACCTCCGGGAAAGGCCTGGAACCTCGGGAGAGGCGGATGATAGTTGCTCATCAGCGAAACTCTGGTAGGAGAATCTTTCAACGAGCATGGTGTAAATGTTTTAACACTGACTTCACTGAGAAGGGACAAGGGACGAGGAGACACTGTTTTAAACTTGTCTGTGGTGGCTCCCAAGGAAGGGGTGAGAGATGAATCACAGCCTCAGGGACCTTATCAAATGCATCTGATTTGTGACTTTCAGCACTCTCCAAAAGCAGCAGGGATCCGAGCTGGCAGCCTGAGGCTAGATGACGCAGTCACATGCCAAGCTGGAGCAGATCCAGGTCTGGCTCTGGGCAAGTCACTTAAGCCCTGGGAGCCTCGACTTCCTCATCTATTCAATGGGGCGATACTAAATGCAGCAGCTAGCACGCGGCCGAGGACATCCATCACTTTAATACGTGATAATCACCCCTTCTCCTCAGCTGCACTACCCTTGCTAAAAAGCCTAATCACACTCACGCTTCCCAGTAGAAATAATCTGTCACCATGACAATGAACTTTTCCCCCTCACGATGGCCAACGGGGGCAGCTTGGAGCATCTGTCAGGGCAGCATGGCGGCCATTAAGAGCTCACGGGACCCATGAGCGTAAGTCAGTGTTCCTCGAACAGCGCCTACCTGTCTAACATGCGGACAAAACAAGCAAATAGGGGGCCCCCCACCTGGGGCTCAATGGCCAGGAAAGCGAAGCCATCTCTTTAACATGGAGCCCACAGAAGCTGGGGCACCAGACGACACGTGAATGTGTGGACACGATGGAGCCATCTACAGAAGTCCACATACATGCCTGTTCCAGAACAAGCCATCCGTCTGGTCTAACAGGGAGCTCAGGCTCCTCCCCGCCTGCCGCACGCAGGAGCGCAAGAAGTCTGCACACATCCATTAGCCCCACCTCCCATCACTGGGCTTTTCATACCAGGAATAGGACACAATGTGACCCCTCAGGTGAGAGCTGCCGTGCCAAGCGTCAAGTCTCTATTCCAGGAACAACTCTTTCCTGAGGGTCAATGAGAACCCAGCACTGGGCAATCCCGTGCAAGGCCAGATCGGGGATCCAAGACCCAAATCCCCAGTCTCTTGATGGAATGAGAGGACATCCTGTTAAAAAAAATAGACTTTCGGGTCCAGAAACTCAGAGGAGGAAAGAACTGGTGAAGTTCATCCATTTGCCACCTGTCCCTGAGCATGACTACGCCCCTACACCCCCCTCAGGTCCTAGGGGAAACACAACTAATCCCCTGCCCACCATTCATCCTGGTGGATTACCCAACAGTCCAGTTCATTCAGAGTGAACTTCTGAGGTTTCTCTGCATCCTTCCCTGTCCCTAAGGCCCTCCCTTCCATCTGCACATCCCAGAGGCTCCGCGCGGAGGGAAACTGCCTCCACCCACAGATCAGCTGTGGGGCACGTGACCACAGGACAGCCAATCAGTGCATCCCACCTGCAGCTCATCTGAGGCACGTGACCACGGGACAGCCAATCAGTGCATCCCACCTGCAGCTGCAGCTCAACTGAGGCACGTGACCACGGGACAGCCAATCAGTGCATCCCACTGGGCCACAGGGATGAAGGGAAGCCCTTCTGAGGGAGCAGCCCTCTGGAAAGCTGAAATGAGGGCGTTCTCTCGCTCTGGGTCTGTAGAGGCAGGGCTGTGCCAATCCTTCTGCCCTTTCTGCTTCTACCAGGGAATTAAAACCCAGAAATAAAAAGAACTGGAGAAAAAGAGAGAGCCAGATCACCCCAACGCACAACGCCTAGACTTCCCAGGCAAATGAGCAAATGAACCACCCCAAACTTGATTGTTTAAGCCAGTTAGAATTGGTTTCTTTTCTGTAACCAAAAGCACCCAATCTAAAAACAGACTCTTACGGATGAGGAAGTGAGTCCCCAGAGGCCCAGTGACTCGTACAATGTCACGCAGACACTGGTGACTAGGCCGGGATGGGACCCCGGTGTCAGGCATGCCACAGAAACATGGCTCCTTCCTTCCAAGTGCTTGGGGGTTAAGGATGTTCCTGGGGCGCCTGGGTGGCTAAGTCGGTTAAGCGTCCGACTTCAGCCCAGGTCATGATCTCACGGTTCGTAGGTTCGGGCCCCACGATGGGCTCTGTGCTGACTGCCGGCTCAGAGCCTGGAGCCTGTTTCAGCTTCTGTGTCTCCCTCTCTCTCTGACCCTCCCCTGCTCACACTGTCTCTCTCTCTCTCAGAAATAAATTTAAAAAAAAAAAAAAAAAAAAAAAAGGATGTTCCTTCCAGTCTCCAAACAGTCAGAGGAAATAATGTCCACATCCAGGCCAACAGGGGTTAAGAAAGAGATGCTGGGAACACCTGCTACGAGCCTGTGAAAGGTTGGCTTCTCTCTCCTTCCCCAACAGAACCCCGCTGCTCTGGTGGCCGCACTGGTTGGTGGATCCTATCTGTTGAACCCTCACACAGAAGGAAAGAATACGACAAGGTCCTAGTTTAAGGGACAGGCAACATCAAATGGCCATTTCAATTGTGAACAAGCATCTTCCCCAAGTCAGTGCCCGACAGATGCCAGGATGAGAAGGGCAGAGAGAAAGAATATGGAAAAGGGGAAAGACATTAGCTCAGATGCCACGGGAGGGGCTGGGGGAGGGTGGGGAGGGGATCCCAGGGGAAAAACAGGTCAGCGGAAAGTGACCAAGAAAGCAATTCCGGGAAAGGCGGAAAAGCACAGTGGTCATGGTGGAATTAGAAACCGGACCGTGTCAGCTCTTCGGTTAACCACATTCCTGGTTTCGACTGAAGAAATTTAATTAAAAACCCAAACATCTAAATTTCCCAACTGGCTCGCCGGTGGCCACAGATTCCCTTAGATTCAAAGAAGCCTCCTTCGGGGTGAGGCCACTAGACAAGTCTCGTGTGAAGTCAGAGGAAGAAGGGTCACAGGCAAGCCATGGGCAGATGTCCAGGGCAAGTACCTCCTCCCTCCCCTCCCCCAGAGAGAAGAAAGTCTCCTCAGGCTTGGGACCATCCTGATCTGTCGCTCCATCCATTGGGGTGAGAACTTTGTTTCTTGCTTATTTCTTGCTTATTTTTTATTTAAAAAATAAAAAGAAACGGGTGCCTGGGTGGCTTACTCCATTGAGCATGCAACTCGGTTTCAGTTCAAGTCATGATCCCAGAGTTGTGGGATCGAGCCCTGCCCTGCATGGAGCAAGGAGCTTGCTTACGATTCTCTCTTTCTTGGGGCACCTGGTGGCTCAGTCGGTAAAGTGTCAGACTTTGGCTCAGGTCACGATCTCGCAGTTTGTGAATTTGAGCCCCTGTGTTGGGCTCCATGCTGACAGCTCAGAGCCTGGAGCCTGCTTCGGATTCTGTGTCTCCCTCTCTTTCTGCCCCTCCCCTGCTCACCCTCTGTCTCTCTCTCTCTCTCTCTCTCAAAAATAAACAAACTTTAAAAAAAATTTTTTTTAAGATTCTCTTTCTCCCTCTGCCCCTCTCCCTAACTCACGTGCTCTCTCTCTCTCTAAAGTAATAATAAAAAGGGGCACCTGGGTGGCCCAGTCGGTTAAGCATCCGACTCCGGCTCAGGTCATGATCTCACAATCTGTGAGTTCGAGCCCCACGTCAGACTCTTTGCTGACAGCTCAGAGCCTGGAGCCTGCTTCGGATTCTGGATCCCCCTCTCTCTCTGCCCCTCTCCCACTTGCTCGTTCTTTCTCTCTCTCTCTCTCAAAAATAAACAAACATTAAAAAATATTTTTTAAAGATAATAATAAAAAGAAAAAGAATAATCAGAATGAAAAAAATTTAAATGAAATAGAACCACATTCATGATGGCTCCAGGGACACAAGGTCACCTTCCTTCTGCCACATGGGGGAAGGTGCAGAGGCTGGGAGAGGCAAACCTGGGGAACAGTCGGCCCCCAGGCCAATAACACCACTTACTGCAAGTCACCAACCCCCCTCGAGGCTGGACGCACACTTGGGACGTCCAATGACCGACCGGAACAGACTTGAGCTTTTGGGGCTCACACACAGCTTCCGGCAGAAAACCCTGAGCAGGAGCTGGTCATCTTGACCCAGCCGCTAACCAGGGCCCTTCACAGGAGCTGCGACAGGCATCTGACATGGGCACCCGTGTGCTCAAAGAGACATTTCTTCAGCCATGTGATGGTGCAGCGAAGAATTCCATAAGAGAAGAATTTAATTTTTATTTTCAAAAACAAACAACAAAACCCCACAGCCAGCAAACTTCATATAGGAAATCTGACCTTGTAAGATAGAGCTCTCCCTAGAGTGCTCCCCAACAACAAGGCCAATCTCCATCTTCCCAGCTCCCACATCCCCCCACACCCCACACCGCACCAACACTTCCAAAACTGTCTTCATCGCGCACATCAGGTTAGGAGTCAGGGGCTGGTTCCTCTGGATCAGTACCTACCTGCCTCGCATCACTCACCTTGAAAGCTTCTTCCGGGGGGGGAAAAAAATGAGAGGACACCTGACTATTTCACCAGGTTGAGGTTGGTACCAGATGGGATGTGGACACAGAATCACTCGAAAAACTCGACTGCAAATAATCAGGACCTAAAGAACTCGCTAGATCACCAGACCTTCTAATTTACGGTCTGCTCCCCCCACGGCTGCTCCTTATTCCCATCCCTCTGCTCCCGGTGAAGAGTCTTCCTCTGAGATAGAAGGAGATCCATGGCATCCGGAGTGTAAACCAGGGCGGAGGAAATCTAACCATCCTGGTCCATCTGCCTTTCAAATTAAAGTGCCACTTCACACTCAAAGGGATGGCTATTACCGAAAAAAAACAAAAATGTCTTGGCAAGGATGTGGAGAAACTGGAACCGTCTGCCTTGCCGCGGGAATGTAAATTCTGCAGCTGCTCTGGAAAACAGGCCGGTGGTTCCTCAAAAAAACAAAACAAAACACCTCACACATGAAATGACCCTGTGATCCAGCAATCATGCTGATCCACGAAAGAACTGAAAGCAGGGACCCCCCCAACAGATACCTGCGCACCCAGGTTCCTAAGCAGCATGAGCCACAGGAGCCAAGAGATGGACACAACCCAAGTGCCCCTCGACGGATGAATAAACAAAACGGGAAATTATTCAGCTTTCCGACGGAAAGGAATTCTGACACCTGTTACGACCTGGGTGAGCCTTGAGGACGTCGTGCTCAGCGACGGAAGGCAGACACGGAAGGACAGACATTCTATGACTGCACTTACATGATATTGATAGAGACAGAAAGCAGAATGGTGGTTGCCAGCGGCCAGGTGGGGGGAACAGGGAGTCGGTGGTTCAAGGGCAGAGTTTCCACTGGGGACACTAGCAAAGCTCTGGAGATGGGTGGTGGGAAGATGGGAAGGCAGTGTGAGTGAGCCGCGTGCCAACAGTAAAAGGTGAACATTTTCTAATTGGCCACAAGAGAAGAACCCAAGGGCTTGCAGCAGGGTCTGAGGAAGCATCCAGCAGGCACTTATTACCTGCAGAAGTCACCAGAGAGGGAACCTTAGTGGCAAATGATTGGCAATATGTGTGCAGTGAGGGAAAGGGGCACTTGGGCGGCTCAGTCAGGTGAGGGCCGGACTTCAGCTCAGGTGGTGATCTCGTGGTCCAGGAGTTCAAGCCCCACATTGGAATCCATGCAGATGATGTCGCACCTGCTTGGGATTCTCTCTCTGCCCCTCCCCTGCCCGTTTTCTCTCTCTCTCTCAAAATAAATTTTTAAGAAACCTTAAAAAAAAAAAAAAACAGCTTGCACTGACATGGCTAACGCATTAGCAGCTGGATGGCAAGCAGCAGAGAAGGTCTGTCTTGTTCTGTCCCACTTGGGCTTCTCTGTCCAGTCAAAGGAAAGCGAAGGCAGTTCTGAAGCGAGACCACGGCACTTTTTAGGAAAGGAAATGGGTCAGAAAATCACCAAAATCAGACCCTTGTAAGGGGCATTTTCCAAAGGATGGTGGGATGGTCTGGAGGGGGGGGGGTGTTCACAGAGCTGAGGGGAGAGACTGAGGGTCTGACTGATTTCTGGGGACCCAGAACTTTATCCTTCGTCCTGATGCAGCCACTGCGGCCTCAGCCAGCTACAAAAGCACCTGGTTTCAAGGTTTCTATGTGAAAACCTGTACCAACAAACCAAATACGGGAGGAGGCGATGATTCACATCACAGAAAGAATGCTTTGACAGAAAGTAGCCTTTTCAGCATTCCACTGCTCTGATGCTTCCTCCGGGCCTTTCGCAGGTCATGTGATCAACCGAGATGGGCTCTGTATAGACATTTTTTCGGGCACAAACACAGTCTGCAGAGGGAGCGATTTTGAACAGAGTGTCTTTCTGGCCAACGGCACAGCTCAAAGCGAGGGCACTTGCCCAGGAGCCTTCTCTTCC